ACAGTATATTAAATTTTCATATGTCCCTTTAATCCTTTTACAACAATCTTTTATTAATCATAATTTTGTTACATTATAGTCAGTAAAGGATGAGTTTAATGTTTCTATGTTTCTAGATTTTAATTTTTGTAAAGGTGTCATAAACAGATGAGAAATATACATACTCCTTTCTATTTCCATTCAGTAACTACCAAAGATCTATCATATCTAAATTTTCTGAGATTCTATCTGGATACTTTTCTTATGTTTATCTTTTTTTGTTAGACTTACCTAGGTCTGAAAAGTGATATAACAAGACCACATTTATTCTAGTTTTGTTATTTAATTTCCCCTATAATATAATTAACTTTATTCTTAGGTACTTGGATGGTATGCCACTTGTCACATACATATGGAATATTGATATTATTTCATTGATAAGACCCTTGGGAATCTCTTGTTTCCTAAGAGTTCTGTATATAGAGTTTGGTGTCGTCACTCACATCTCCAACCTCAATATCTTATTTGAACTCTTAGTGCCAAGGTTTGCCCTTTTCTACACTCTCTGATGTGGTCTAGCCCTATTTGATCTTGGGCCTTTGGCCATGATTCCCGCCCCTCCCTGACCAGTGTCCATGCTAAGAATGCTGGTGACTTTTGGGTACCTCAACAGAGCTTTCAAGTCTGCTGCTCTTCGTCTGGGTTTTGCTGTGGTTTTCTGTAGCCCCTTATGTTTAACCAGTCCAGGCTCTGCTTTGAAATTCCAGCCTGCTCATTTGAACATGGGCTGGTGGGATGCCTTTTCCAGTTCTCATGGCTTCTGATTTTATTTTTTTAATTCAGTCTTAGGATGGATGAAGGGGCTTATTGATGTTTCTCTGGATTTCTTAATCATTATTCAAAGCACTGCTTTTCCCCTCTTCTATCATTGCTGAAGAATAGGTGGGGTAGTTGGGATCCTTTGATCTTTCACACAATAACCATAAACAGAAATCTACCTAAGTTTGAGTGTGCACAATATTTGGAAGCTCTATGGTTTTACCTATAAAGAAGGAAGGAAATCTGACCCTCCCCTGACTACTATAGCACTGCCCCAAGCTGTAAAGTTATAGTCTCCATACTGATGGGATCTATCATATTATAGATACGAAATAAGCTTGTTAGATTTTGTCCTTTAAAGATGTATTGTACTAAAACTAAAACCTAGAAATGAGTATACATATATATGCTGATGCATACAAGAAATCCAATGAAGAAGTGCAATGAAATCTATACAAAAATTATTAAAGCAGGGCATACCCAGTAGTGTCTATCTAGTTTTGGACAAAAGCTTATCACTTGTTTCTCTTGCTTATCTCAATCTGTAGATAAGATATCTGAAGCCTAAAGAAGTGAGGAGACTTGTCCAAGTTCAGACAGGCTGTGTAGATCAGATCTAGGCCCTTTAATTCCAAATTCAGCACTATTTCTATCACACCAGGCTGCTTAAGGAAGCAGGAAAATAGAGAATACATTTTGTGTAGTGTTATTAAAATTTAAAAGTTCTTGAAGGGGTACATTTTTATTTCCTGGAAAACTCACTCATATATAACATAGTCTCGTAATGTCATATTATTCATTCATTCATTCCACAAGAACTTATTAATGAGAGAATTTGTATATGTGTGCTCATGTATATGCATATAAGAACATTTTATCTTATTGCATTTGAAATAATGTATAAAACTCTGGTTGTCAAATAAAATGATTCTTGGAAGACATATCCATACAAAGAGAAGGGTAAGAGAACTGAGGGGAGGGAGAGGGATAATTAATATCAATGTTCTTAGAACCAGCTTGGGCTAAAGTGTTGGCTTTTTCAATTATTAGTGTGCTCCCTTTAACAAACTCTATGGGCCTTCACTCCCATAACATTAAAATATGAAGGTTAGACTAGATGATCTTTAAAGATTCTTCCATTTTAACAATCCAGGAGTCAGTGTAAGGGAGATTTGGAGAGAAAAAGAGAGAGATAAACGAAGAAATAGAAAAACAGAGAAAGAGCACAGAGAGAAAGAGAGAATAGGGAGAGTTAACATGGCTTTAATTTGCTAAAATTGATATGAACAAATATGTCAGGGGTACTAAGATACTTTTTACTAAATTGTTAACTCCTTTAAGGGGAAAAACATGTTTCTTCCTCATGCCCTAATACAGTAAATGCTTACTGGGTGGTTCTGAATTACCCGGTAAGAGAGAGGTAGAACTCCCTCCCTTTAACAGGTGGGTATTTGAACAAGTACCTTTCAGAGATAATTAGTTAATACAAACAAATGACTCGACTGGTAGTAATTTAGGGCTTCATGAGAGGCTGATTAGGGACAGAATCTTGAGGAAAAATGCTTTCTGAAGTCCCTCAAATAATGCCCTAGCTGCAAATGCCAAATTCTAGTCATTTTGCAAGCTACTCTGCAATGAAGAATATCTTTTATAAGCTATGCATCTCCTCCAGGGCCTAGCACATTGTCCTTTACAAAAGCAGGTATTTAATAAATGTTTATTGAATTAAATTGATTTCACAGAGAAAGAAGTAAATGCAGTCCCACACTTTGAGGATTTTGAATCTAAGCTCTAAACTGACACGAGGCCATTTTGGCTATTGCTACAGAGGCATACCAGTATGCAAAAGCTAAAGTTTTATTGTCAAAACCATGAAAAAGTTTTGTAAAACTCAATTTCTTCTCTGACCAACACCAATGTCAGAGAAGTCTATTGAGTTTACCGGTGGTACCTACCAGCTGCAGCACCAGACATTTCTCTACATACTTGCAGCCCACAAAATTGTCAGAGGCCAGGAGAATCTGCTTGTTTGGTAAAAGTTTTCTGTATAATTTCTAATACCCTCTGCCCCTTTCAAAACTGCTACATCTCAAGCTATGATAACCCTGAGAATAAAAGGACAGCATGATGAGATCCAGATTAAGTGAGAGGTAGCATAGAAAATAAAATTTCCTATGTCAAATATTACAGCAAAATTTTCTAGTTCTTTGGTATGTAAAAAAGTCAATGGCACCATTTTTTTCATGTATATAGCAGTGATGTCAAACTCAAATACGAAGTGTTCAGTGTGGGTTGCATATTGACTTACTTTTAAAATGTAATGTTTAAAATGTTATAGTTTACCATATTTATGTTTATTTTGTTAAATATTTCCCAATTACATTCTCATGCAGCTTGGGTTCCATCTGGTAGTATTGTGGGCCACTGTGGGCTGTATGTTTGGCACCTCTGATTTACACTAATGCTTAGGACAGTTAGAACACGATGATATCGAAAGTACTTTCCAATACGTACATTCCAATCATCTATGATGCTTTGATGCTAATGATACCAAGTTCACTTTTTCAATTTCAGTTTAAACCAATGAATATCACTAGCCTCCCTAGCAAACAACTGCACTCCCAGTTACGGTCAACTACTATTGGTTACATGTGTGACCAGTTGAGAGAATATGGATGTAATTGATACAAGGCATTAGAGACTGTACAAGTTAGAGACTGAAAGCATGTTCACTACTGCTACTGGTAAAAACAAGACAAAACAAAACAAAAAAAAAAACAGACAAAAACTCCTCACCCCTCTCCCGACACAAACATAGTAAGTCATCTTCAAACACCAAAGGTAGAATTTTATAGTAAGTAGGGTCTATGATTTTTCTTGCCAGAAAACTACACAATTTATATTTTAAAATTATTCCTTACCACATGCCCACATATCCACTGGTTTTCCATAGGGATCTTTTCGTAACACCTCTGGGGAAAGGTATCCAGGTGTACCAGCAAAGCCTGGGAGAAAGGACAAGTATTATAGAAAATACAATTTTTTTTCCTGATAAAAGAAATTACTTTTTTTTCTTTAAGATACAGTGATGTGTTGTCTTGAAAAGCAATAAAGATGTAATTAGCACTATTAGTACAGATCAGCCCTTCTTCACAGTTCTGTCAATAGTTGTCTGTCCTGGCTTGTAACATTGTTGGAAACAGGATCCATTTTCTAGCTCAGAAGGCAAACGAGCCTTGTTGAACAGAGTTCCGGCAATCTTAAGCAGAGATCTGGCTAGGACTTCATATTCAGTTCCATTTACATGGGATCTAAACCAAAATCTGCAGAAGAGTTAGAAAAATGAATATTCAAAGGATTAAGTACTGTAAGAGAACATACCATGGAAGCTCACCGTAATATTAATTATTCCCAGCAGAAAAGAATCTTGTTTAAGATTGATCCGCTTAGTATCACTCTCCAAATGGTTAGTTATCAAAATATCAAAAGGATCTTAATACAAAGCAGCATTACGAACAAGTAGGTTGATGAAACTGGCATTAAGGTGTGACTCCAATATATATGTTTTTGTGTATTACGTTACTGTCATATGAAATTAGTGTTAGTGGAAGCAAGCCCCAAGCTATCAAAGAATTATAAAGTCAAAGAAGTATATCTATCTATCTATATCTGTTCAGCTGTTTCAGCCATGTCTGACTCTTCATGAACCCATTTGGGGTTTTCTTGGCAAAGACACTGGAATAGTGTGTCATTTCCTTTTCTAGCCTATTTTGCAGAGCAGGAAACTAAGGCAAATAGGGTTAAGTGACTTGCCTAGGGTAACACAGCTAGTGTCTGAGGACAGATTTGAGGACAGGTCTTCCTGACTCCAGGTCTGGCTCTCTACCTACTATGCCACCTAGTCGTTTTACTTTATTTTTAAATATATGTGTGGTATCATTTAGAGGTGAAGTTCAGAAACACTCAGATAAATCACTTTCAAATAAATGCCAATCTGCTTTGCATCTGGGCAAACATATACATATACATATACATACACACACACACATATATGTATACATATATGACATCACTGACTAGAACACACATTTGATTAAGCTTGGTGGAATGTTGTGGCAAAGAGAAGATGGGATTATTAGTAAAAGAAAAGACAGACTGAAGGCAGATTGAAGTATCTGACTTTTAGTGCCAGAAGTAGGAAGAAGAGGATGGAGAGATGATAGTGGAGGGTTTACTCACGGAGAGAGAGAGGAAACACCACACTGACTGCATAAGATGGTGACAAAGAACAGACAGTCAAAGGGAAAGCAAATGCCAAAGCTGGCAGAAAATGGCAATTCCTCAGCCATCTTCAAGGTCCTTCAATAATGGGTCCAACATTACCTACCCAAACTTCTATTTTACTACTCCTTGACTCAGCCAGCCTATCTTCTCATGGTGCTTCTAAATACCCTTCTGATTCACGTCTCCATGACTCTGTTCTTGCCAGTTCTTGGAGAATGCTTTTTGGTCTCCTCTGGAATGTTATAAAACCTCCGAAATAATCAGGGCCAAATTCAGAACATTTGCCTTTGTGAAGCTTATCCTTGTCATTCGTGTTCCCTGGCCTGTTCTTTACTCCTTATTCCTTTGGCATTCAACTAATAGTTTACGACTAATCTTGGGGCTGCATCTGCATGACGTATTCACAACCCTGCTTACTGATAACTCTCAAATTGTACTCTAGTTTTATGTATGTAATTGATCTTCCTGTCTAGGCTGCCTAGGCAAGAACCGTCTAAAACCTACCAGAGTTGGGTATATAGCAAACGCTTATTGAATTGCTAAATAGCAATAGCAGCTAGGTGGTATAATGGATAGAGTCGGGCCTGGAGTCAGAAAGATCTGAGTTCAAATCTGTCCTCAGACACTTAATTAGCTGTGTGACCCTAGGCAAGTCACTTAACCCTGTTTGCCTGTTTCCTCATCTGCAAAATGAGTTGGAAAAGGAAATAGCAAACCACTCCAGTATCTCTGCCAAGAAAACCCCAAATGGGGTCACAAAGAGTCCTGAAATGACTGAACAACAAAAATAGCAAAGTTGTAGAATATCTATTTGGCTTTGAGAGTAAAGAATAATAAATAGATTTTTAAAAATCTATTATTAAATAACAAATTTGGAAAAGTCTCATCAATTATTGTTTAGAGACTAAAAGAACAGGTAAAAAGATTCTTTTTGTTTAACTGCTATAACTTTGCACTGGTCATCCCCTATGCCTGGAATATACTTCCTCCTTACCTGTACCTCAAATAATCCTTAACTTTCTTTAAGACATTGCTCAAAGACCTCTTTCTGTACCAGAGGTGTATAGGTCTGAGGTTGGGGAACCAGAAAAAAATGTAACTGGGAAATATTTAACAAAATAAAATTTTTTAAAAAAATAACACAGATATTGCTAATTTGTGAATTTTTTTAGTCAATATGCAGTTCCTGGGACCTGTTTCTATTTGAGTTTGACACTCCTGTTTGACACTGTGTCCTCCCTAATTAACTGCCTTACGTGTAATTACTTTATATTTGTTTTCTATTTATTCTGTATTCAATTACTTTGTGTATACACAAACACACACATACATTCTATGGAGAGGTGCGGCTTAACGAATAGTGATGGACTAAGTTCATAAGATAAATTTGTATCAGGCCATTTAGCTCTGTGACTTGAGACCCCAAGGCTGCCTACCAGAGCTCTGTGGAGTCAGTAAATGGTGAAATATGTGCTTGGTTTCTCCACAAACCTCTGGCAATGTTGTCTCCGTGGAGTGTGGTAAGTCTGAGAGCTCAAAATGTGGATGGATCCTGGAGCTAGCCTCTAGGTGAGCTGAGACAAAGATTTAATCCTGCTTGTACTATTAGTATTAGCATCAGATTCAAGAAAACTTTCTATTTGAGTTGGACATCTCTGCCATAGTCTGCAAACTTTCTCTGGAATTTCTCATTCCCGGTTTCTCTATCCTCCCATTGTGTCCTCTGGAACCCACAGGGCTGGAAGAGACAGAGGCAATCTAGTCCAAACTCCTCATCTCAAAAATGAGGAAACAGGCTTATGGAGGCTAAGTGACTTGCCAGAGGTGGTACATAAGAGGTTGGGCTGGAAGCAAGATAATATAATTAATATAATATAATATAATATAATATAATATAATATGATATGATATGATATGATATGATATGATATGATATGATATGATATGATATGATGTGATGTAATATAATATAATATAATATAATATAATATAATATAATATAATATAATATAATAAATATTAATATAATATAATATAATATGATATGATATGATATAATATAATATAATATAAATAATAAATATAATATATAATATAATGCAATACAATATATAATTTATGTCATGTTATGTTGTGCTGTGTTATGTTGCGTTGTGTTATGTTATGTTACACATTAACTCTGCTGCTTCACTACTGGTAACATATGGTACTATTGATCATATTAAGCCGATGCTCTCCTCCTGGAAATGATTTTGAATATATTTTTTTATGTAATATTTATGTATGTATTGCTTCTTCCCAATAGAATATAAGCTCTTTGCAGGCAGGGGATGTCCATTATGACTTTGTTTATGACTAGGTTTGTATTCCCAGTTCCAAGAACAATGCCTATTGAATTAAAATGAATTGAGTTGGAGATAGTATCTAGTCCAAGTTCTATGACTCACAAGTTATGTGACTTGGTATAAATAATTTAATTTCACTGAGTTTTAGTTATTTGATTTTTAACACAAGATAAACTATATAATTTTAAAGTTCCTTCCAGCACTATAACTATGACAAATGGTATCTAGAATCACAACTTGGACATCTGCAAGCAAGAAAAAAAAATCTTTCAATGTGAACACTGATGAGGAGAAAGAGTAATTTAGTGGAATGAACTGTGGACATAGCATCAGGAAACCTGTATCTTTATTCCACTTCTGACCTGTACTTGTCACTTGGGGCAAGTTACTTTATTCTCTCTGAGTTTAAGTTTCTTTATCTCCAACATGGGAATGACAGTACTTGCACTACTTACTTTATAGGGTTGACAGAAAGAAGGTGTGTTGCAAACCTTAACATTCTATTACAAGTCATTGCTTGTGAACAGAACTTTGGGTAACACATAGTACCCATTCTTTTCTCCTCTAGCCTAGAACTTCACTGACCATATTCAATACTGCTTTATAACTTGAAATATATTGAAACTCTAGAAGAATTTATCTGCACAAAAAGTGTGAAATATTTAACTTTATAATGTCTCATCAGGAACAGAGAATTGAAACAGCAAAATAGAATGGCATAAAAGATCACTTTATTTTTTGCATGAGAATTGAGTTCTATCATACCTACAGTAAAATGAAAGGAGGTCTGCCTTTTCCAAACATAAAGTAAATTCTCACAGTTCCTCTGAGAATGCAACAGGAACATTAGCACAGGTGGAATGTTTTAATTGGACTGTAGGAATAACTTATTGCTGGAAAAAATGCAAAGTAATCACTGTCACACAGTAAAATTGGCTGTAATTTCAGACCTCGGTGCAAGAAGGAGACAGTAAAAGACATCAAGTAGGAAGTTAAGTGCCCTACTCTTACATGTTCTAGGATCATAGTTCCATAGTTATTTAGTTGAGCTGCAATGGAGTCTATGAAGCAAGGTAAGTATATTGCTCATGGCGGGGGGTGGGTGGGAAGAGAGAGAGAGAGAAAGAGACAGACAGAGAGACTTCTGTTTAGCAATTTCTCATTCCATCTTGACAGCTCTAGAGAAAAAATACAGAAGGTGGTCCTTAACCCTCAGTGACAGGACTTCAGGGATGGTAACAGAGGATAAGAGGCAGAACATTAGAAGGAAGGAGATAAAAATCAGGACTTAGAGAATGAGAATAAAAGGTTTACTGTACAAATTCATCTCAACTCAGTTCAAAACACATTTATTAATGGCTTAGTATGTTCATGGAACTGTGTCATTTGCTACAAAAAACAGGACTTTTCCCATTCCTAAAAGAGGTTTTATTTGTCTTAAACCTGAGAAAAACATAAGAAGTCACTAAAATTCTGGCATTGCATTTGGTGGGGAAATAGTAGCACTCTTTTTTTTTTTTAAGTGAATACTGGTAAACATAAAAATAAAATTAAAAATTAGGTTTGATAAACACATAAAACTTCTAAAAATAAGTTTAAAATAACCTGGGAAAGATGGAGATTATTTTATGACAATTCAGTTTTGAAAAGGATTAAATTGGTAATGAAAATTATAGTGAGTCCTTTTACTTAAAGGAAAAAAGCTACACCTATGGTAGAATACCCCCTATGGAATGTAACACCCTGTGCCTCTTTTTCCATGGCATTTCAGACATGTTTCCATGGGAATCTGTGTTTCTGAGAAATTCAATAAGATAGAAGCTTAGGGGTAACAATGATGTTTTCATGCCTACCTAAAACAATTTATATTTTTAGGCACCATCAACATCTATACCTTAAGGTCAATGCCATGAAGACCATTCCCATTTCCACTGGCTGTTCAGGTTTGCAACACACCTTCCTTATATCAACCTTATAAAGTAAGTAGTACAAGTATTATCATTCCCATTTTAGAGATAAAGAAACTTAAACTCAGAGGGAGCAAAGTGACTTGCCCAAAGTGACAAGGTCACTTGTCACAGGTCAGAAGTGGAATAAGAATACAGGTTTCCTGATGCTATGTCCACAGTTCATTCCACTAAATCACTCTTTCTCTTCATCCTGTCCACAACCTCTAGCTACTAAAAACTGACAACATGAGACTGAAAAAAGTAGATCTTTTGCTCTTGGAATATTTCTATGAAAAAATACTTTTTACCTTTCCTTTTGTTCTTTTTTTATGTATTGTGGAAAGTGATTTTTTCTTACTGGGAATTTCAATAGGAAAAGACAGAGGGAAGAGGGCATTCTAGGCAGGGTACTATTATAAAGACAATAGGATGTTTGGGGACTAGTCAATCAATAATTATTCAAACATGACTGAAAACAGCTGAACAACAACAAAAAACAAATAGTCTGCTTTGGCTATTGAATAGGGAAAGCAGTAAATTGATTGGAAAGGTAGTTTGGAACTGTGTTATGGAGAACCTTGAATGACAAGTAAAGGAACTTTTTCTTTATTTGGTAAACAAGCAGTTATCGAAGATTTTTTAGAAATATTTATTTACTGTTGTTTTCTTTGCTAGGCAATGGGGTTAAGTGACTTGCCCAGGGTCACATAACTAGTACGCATCAAGTGTCTGAGGTCACATTTGAACTCAGGTCCTCCTGACTCCAGGGCCAGTGCTCTATCCACTGCACCACCTAGCTGCCCCCATTGAAGATTTTAATATAAGAACTGAACCTCTGAAAGATGAATCGACTATCCTTCTGTGGGACAGGCAGCCTAGATGGCCCAGTAGATAGAAAGCTGGATCTGACTTCACAAAGACCTGAGTTCAAATCTAGCCTCACACAATTATTAGCTGTGTGATCCTTGGCAAATCACTCAACCTTTGCCTGCTTCGTTTTCCTCATCTTCCAGGGAATGTTGCAAGTATCAAATGAGATAATATTTGTGTGTTGAAGAGTTATAAAAATGCTATAACAATAATAAAGATAGCAACAGAAATAATGATGATCATAATTATTAATATATATAATTATTATAATTCTACAGATATTATAATAATTATTATTTCTGTCTCCAGTTTCTACTCCCAATATATCATCATCATCATCCTCTTCCTCCTCATTGGCCTGGGCTCCTTTTTCTTCCTATCTGTTCTGTGATTTCTGGCACCTTTTCAGGCCTCAGTTTCTTCATCTATAAAATTCACGGTTTGAAGTGGAAGATATCTAAGGTTTCATATCGTTCTAAATCCTATCAACCTTTGCTTCCAAGCTCCCAGAGGATTGGAAGCATCCAGAGGAAATGCTTCTTCTGAATTAGGTTTTCAGATATGAATGGAAACATTCTTATTGAAAGTTGAATTGAATTCAGCATACCAGATGTAAAGAGAGGAAGAAGTGGAATTTTAGTGGCATAGTCTCTATCAGAAGAAAGAGCTACCCTATGTTAGTTTGGGTAGATAGGAAGGAAAGAGAGGTCCAGGAAAATTCTGTGTGGGTGCTAAAACATTCAGGATGAAAACAGTAGCTATTTGCAAATACGGTTAGAAACCTCAGGATTTAAACCTATCTATAGATGATTTCCTCTTTTCTTAACTTTTCTTCTTGTTCCTTTTCCTGCACATATTCATTCTTGGAAGTTGTATCTTCAGGATGCCAAAAGAACTTTTGTGGGGAAAAAAAAAACCTCCACCCTTTTTATGTGGAATAACATTGCTGTAACATATGGTGGATTTACATTTTTTAGCTTTCTGGCTGCTTGTTCTGATGTCAGGTAGGTACAGCCTAGACAGCCTGAAACTTCTGCTTCTACCCCTTTTCACATTTTGCATGACTTTCAAAGCAACTATTCTACACCAGAGGCTTTAAGGAGAAAAGGTGTTTTTTGTTGTGGTTTTGTTTTTTGTTTTTGTAGTTGTCAGTTCAATTGCTGTTCAAAAGTTGTGAATTCAGTGGGGAAAGAAGGCTGGCTGGAAATCATAAAATGAAGAAGAGAAGGTTTTTTTTTATCTTTGGAATATAATTTACAAAGCAAGAGGGGAAAAAAGGCCTTCTTTTCCTCACCTTACCTAACTTTTATTAAAAACAAATCTGTGTAGATGCATTCATTCAGTTATCATCTATGGAGGCCTACTATTTACATACATGAGGATATTAAAAACATATTCTTCTCACATAAAAAAATCTAAAGAAATTTAAAATCATTTGAAAATTCTAAATGCTAGCAAACAACTGTGATCTCAGCAATATGAGTATTACCTTTACTGACAGATTGTATCTGCCAGAAGAGATGAATTAGTCTGTTAGTTATATCAATGTTTAAGACGGGGGTGGGGAACCTGTGGCCTTGAGGCTATATGTGGCCCTCTAGGTCCTCAAGGGCACTCTGTCTCCGCCTCCTTCTTTAATCAAAGGGCTACATTTGAGGACCTAGAGGGCCACACGTGGCCTCAAGGTCCTCACCCCTGGTCTAAGATGACTACTTAATACAACAACAAAAAGATGTACATTTTCAAATAATAATTCTGATGAAATGTTCCAAGTGATTTGAGCTACTTTCCCCACATAACTCTCTTAGGTACCATTTGTTAACAGCCAAGATCACTTTCCTTTATACCTGCTCCTTCCCCCAAACTTTTCTTTAAATCTTGACATTGGGTTCATTTCTCAAGTTACCTGGTTGTGGAAAAAAAAATTCTAAAAGTCAATTCTTTTTTTCCTCCAACTCACATTTTCTCATAAGAATTAAAAAAAAACAAACAACTCTCTCCATATTTTTCATGTTAAATAAGATGAGGTGGTCAGAAAAATCTCAATGTCTCAGAAATGATACAAAACTCTAGCTGCCTTATAATTGTGAATTTTATTTCAAGCAGGTTGTGTTAGACAGATAATGAATTGAAGAAGCACAGTCTACCCACCAAACCATGCCTGCTGATCTCCTTGGACTTCGATGGCCAAGCCGAAGTCTGCCAGTTTCACAGCTGCTCCTTTGGATTTGCTAGCTAAAAGCAAGTTCTCAGGCTTTATTTAGAAAGAAAAAAAAAGATAGTGATAAGAACACACTTTAAGCAATTACTAATAACTAACAATATTTGAACTAAAAGAGAGAGAGAGAGAGAGAGAGAGAGAGAGAGAGAGAGAGAGAGAGAGAGAGAGAGAGAGAGAGAGAGAGAAAAGTCATGCATCATCCTCTCCACAGGAGAATGTCATTCCTAAAATCCCAGGGAAAATATGGTTAGCAAATCATTGTAAACTGGCATGTGGGCAGGTTTCAGACAGATGCATAACCTTACTGAAAGAGCATATGGGATGAAGGAGAAGATATGCTTGGGGAAATTTCATGATGAAGGTTAGCACCTGTCTCTGACCTACTCACATGCTACTGAAAACCCCTTCAGGAACAGCAGGCTATAGACAGTTATTTAAAAGGTCTTTTTTTTTTTTTTACAAAGCATAAATATTCTCAGCGGTGGTGAATGTGGCAAAAATTATAACAAGATTTGTATCTATAGACATTTGGCAAACCCTTTAATGAATTTTAGCACAAATCAAATCCTAGCTGATGAAAATATTTTTTATCCAATTGTGATATTTTTGATACCTTGACATTTCTAGACAATTCTGTACAGTTCTCATAAACTCATGTTGATTTTAATTTATATGCTTAAGTTGCTATTTTTAGAATTTAGTCTTTAAAGAGAAGATTAAAACTGCTATTTGCCAAATGTTATAGCTCAGGGCATTAGTCTTTTCAATTCTAACTAAAAGTTTTAATTCAGTATTAATTTTTTTCAGACGGCAAATCAAATATTTTTCAATATATTTTATTTTCTTAAGAATAGCATGAGGAAAATAATTTCCTTAGATATCTACCATTCCTTTAGGACTGACAGTTTAATCTAGGAATGAGGCTGTGTCTACACCATTGTTTCCCAACCAGTCCATCAAGACACATTGATTCTTTTAAAAAAATACCATTATTGCATGACAAGGCATAGATTTCCTTTGTCCCTTTTGATGAATCCTGGCCATATATTTAGAAATAGAAGAGGTAATTATAGTGGAGAAAAGAAAGATGATGCATTGTGTGTATGTGGCAGCTAGGGTGCAGAGGAGGATGATGCATAGTGTTTATCATGCAGACATGTGCATGGATGTATTTGTATACATGCATGTTTGTGTGTGGGGGGAGTAGTGTAAGAGTGTGGATAGACAGATGGTAAGGTTGGTAGATGGCTGCAGTGGCAAATAAGGCCATTTCTGGCTATGTCCCAGAAATTCATTAGATGTGTCATAGACTGAAGAAGGTTGGGAAACACCGGATTTGATATTGCCAAAACAAGTGTTTGAAAAACCCCAAAAAATTCCATCAACTAGACTTCAATGGAAGACGAATGATTTTATTTTCTTGCAGAAATGACTATTTTCTGACCAAGTTGGTTTATTCTTCTGGTTGTTTTGGCCTTTTGCAAACACAACCTAAGTCGGTATTAAATATATTAGTTAAGTCAGCCATGCAAATTAGCAGAGACCCATAAACCAAGGACTTAAGGAAATTAGCTGAAGCCTAAAATAAATCAGATTATGGGGAAGTAGGTATTGTAATAAGATATCATACTCTTTCAGGCTCCTGATGCTCACTGCCATCAGATGCATTGCTACTAAAATACTTGTTAAGAATGGGAAGTTTTAGAAATTTTTGAGGGCCAACAAATTCTTGTTTAACTTATGTTCATAGTTTATCATGTGACAATCAGAGTAAGGGTGTGGGCTGAAGATACCTTAATATTATGAAAAAAAATTTCTACATTTCTGAAGTTTAAGTAAGCCACTAAAATTTTACATTCTTGACTTTTCAAATGATATCAAAATATTAATATTTGACATATTTTAATGACTAAAATTAGTCAACTAAATGAATTGTATTCTTTTAAATTATATTTTGAGTTATCATTTTCTTGAACAAATGAGTGACTTAAAGAAAATCACACAGAACTTTAAGCAATGATTGATTCTATGTCTTTGTTGCTTCACAATTCAAAGGCATCGAAATGTCATATAGTTTTCCAGTGATACACACACACATTTTAATTCATCAATCACACATTGATTTTATAATGTTAGTGTCACAGGAAGCAAGAACTGCAATCATCTTTAAGATCACTGGGAATTTTTAAGTATCAAGTTGTTGGATTGTGTTGAGTAAATGCCATTGTATTTTGTATATAAACTTCAATTTGTATAAAAGGACATTTAATTGTATTACAAAACCAACAACCTTCTGGACAGTACTGTATGCCCTTTGACATCAGGCAGCTGCCAATTCAGGATAAATGGAATGCCTTAAATGTTTATCATGCACGAACTTTGAATGACTGGGCCATCTATTGGTAACTACAGAGGCCTGGAAGACTTCACAGCACTACCTTGTGAGTCATCCAGGAAAATAACAAATCAGTTCAGATTAGAGTGCTTTGCACCTATGAAGACTGTTCAGCTGCAATTATGTACATGAAAAAGGCAGAGCTATTTGAAAACATTAGGTAGTTTATTATTATTATCACTAGAGTCATTTATTTTTAAGCACTAGGTATATGTGTATATATACACATATGTACACACACATACACACACACACACATAGTTCTTCAGGCAAATCTATCATCTAAAACCATGAATTTGTCAATCAGATAAATAAAGAAATTAGTAGGGCAACTGTTCACCTTATAAAAAGACACTTTAAAAAAAGTTTCATCATAGACTTTCTTTGAATAGGTCTTTCCAGGACCATGAAAGTATAATTCAGTTTATTTTTTAAAAAATGATTCACATGTATCTTTTTAGACTATATCTATTATATAAAAGTATATGTCTATTTGAACATATGCTTGTGTCTGCATGCATACTTATAACTATATTTACTCTACACAGATGGTATCCTAAAAGTCTTAGTTCAATTTAAAGATTAATAGCATCTTTATGATAAATTATAATTGTACATAATAAGTAATAATAATAATAACTCTGTATTATAAACTGAACTCCAAGAAGATGAAGGAAAAGCATAGATTCACAGATTCTTTTGAATTATAGTAAGAGGGATTTGAAAGGTCATTTGGTCCAACTTCTCATTTTACAGATAAGGAAAGTGAGGACCAGAGAAGTTAAATGGTTTTCCCAAGGTCGTACAGTATGTGTTTACTACTATAGCAGTAAACTGAAATAGCTAGAAAATAAGGCCAGGTCATACTCAAGCCCAATCAGCTTTTCCACAGTACCAGAAGCTTTATTTCTTTATTTATTTCCTCATTAGAATGAGGAAAAAAATATATATATATGTATATATATATATATATGTATATATATAATTTTCTAGTTTATAAGGTTGAATCAATTCTCTCTGACTTCTTTTAAAAGTACTATGGAACTTTGTTGCTGTGCAGTTGTTTCAGTCATGTCTGAGTCTTCATGACCCCATTTGAGGTTTTCATGGCAAAGATACTGGATTGGTTTGCTATTTCCTTCTCCAGCTCACTTTACAGATGAGGAAACTGAGGCAAACAGGGTTAAGTGACTTGCCCAAGGTCCCACAGCTTTTAAGTGTCTGAGGCTGGATTTGAACTCAGGAAGATGAGTCTGATTCTGAGTCCAGTGTCCCATTGACTGAGCCACCTTATTCCCTTCATGGAATAAGTTCCAACTTAAAGAAATCATCTTTCTAAATCTCTTTCTTGGAACTTAGTATGCATTTTCCTGTATAAAATGATGTTACCAAAGGTGGTTAGGCTCTTGGGTGTTTTAATCCCTGAAAATAATTTTAATCCATAAAAAAGTGCAATTGTCCCCAGAAAAACTAAACCTCTGGATTAAAAAATGGAATTCCTTTTCTTTCTTGCAGTTTAGTGACTGTACTGGAAATATCTTCCCTTTTGAACTAACTACTTAGCAATAGCATTCAGTTTGTGACCACTTGTGCTAACAGGCTGTGAAGGGATCGAACCTCCCCAGTCCTTGACACAGCTAGCTCGTCATGGTTTTGTGCAGAATATTTGGATGTGAGACACTTGTAAGTTGGGGGATGTTTAAACTATGAAGTCCAATGTATTTAACACTAACTACAGTTAGAAGCTACTATGTAAGAGCTTAAAATGGAAATGTTTCTGAAATGTGTCTTAAGTTTGTTCTGCTGCCACACCCACAGACAGGCTTCTTATCCACTCCTCTGCTTCCTAATGATGTAGGCTTTTCCATGACATCTGCTCATAGTGTCAACAACCATGAATAGCATGTCAGATGTAATACATAGCAACCGTTGCCAGTCCGTCCCCCCCCGCAACATTTCCAGTATCTTCTTTCACTATGATTTAAGAACTCTTTGAAACTACACAAAGGATTTTGAGGTACCCAGGCATGTAGCTCCAAAGGAAGTAAGGGATATGACTTAAAGATTGGTACTCTATGATAACTATAAATTCTTGATTCTCTATCAATTTAGAGAACCATAGAACCCTAGATTTAGAACTGAAAAGGACCTGAGGAATGTCTAAGATCCAACCTCCTCATTTTACAGATGGGGAAACTGAGGTCTAGAGAAGTTAAGTGTCTTGTCCAAGGTTATATTTGTAACAAGGAGAACTGGCCTTATAAACAACTTAGGAGAACTCAACAACCTTCTAAACTTCAAGACAAATCCAAACAAACAAAACACCAGTCTCATTTATGATGAAGATCTCTCTGTCTCTCTCTGTCATCTCTCTGTCTCTGTCTGTCTCTGTCTCTCTCTCTCTGCCTCTCTGTGTCTGTCTGTCCGTCTCTCTCTCAATTCAACACCATATTTTCATTAGTATAATGAACTTCTGGAGAGAAAATGTCTTCTACTAATGTAGATCAGGAGCTATTCCACAACTTATAGTGTTAGAGCATTGACTGGAAGCATTAAGAGGTTAAATGACTTGCCCAGGGTCACAACGCCAGTATATATCACATGAGGGACTTAAACCAAGGTTTTCCTGACTGTGAGG